GACAATGTCCGCTTGAAAGTCATTGAGAATACTAATGGCAAACGGCGGCGATAAGCTATTGTGTCGATCTGACAGACTAGCATATTCATGCCCTGAGGAATTTCCACCATGGTTGTTGTTGCTGTTGTTGTAGCAGTCCTATTGCTTTTACACAATGGGCTGAGGTGACAGACATTGGCCGAGTAAGACTCGGGTCGTTTCGGATCGTAGACCCCTCTGTCGTGGAAACGGGTCGTTGTTGTTGTTTGTGTTGGTTGTTTGGTCGATGTCTTAAACCTAAAATTTACTAGAATTTGTTTAGTTTCAAGAAACACGTGCAGACGTCTAGCTGCAACCCCTCTCAGGCAATGGGTAGGAAGTGTGGTTGGGGTATGGAGGAGGAGGGAGGACCTCTACTCCCCCTCTCCTTTTTATAACGAATTTATAGTTTTGTTTTAGTGTTTCTTTTCATAAAATTAACTGCATTTTAATAGAGGCATTTAACATTTTTAAGTACTCCAGCCCGCTTTTTGAAGAGGTTGCCCTTGTTATTTTTTTTAATTCCAATATTGTTTATTTTTTAATGAATCAGCAAATCAATAATCTTAATTTTGTTGTTATTATTATTTTTATTATAGTTTATGACCAGACAACAATTAGTCCCTTGGCTAGTTAAATGCAGTTTGCGCTTTTTTGTAAACAAAGGCTGTGGCGGAACAAAACAGCGAATCGAAAAAAAATGCTCTGATAATTCTCGTGTTGGCCCTATTAAAATGTCACCATTGTCTGGGATTTTGATTTCTAGGGTGTCTGGATTTTTGTTTTTATTTTCTATATTGAGGTTAGATTTTTGATAAATCACTGCTTGTGTTTATTTTTTTATTATGTTTAGGAGATTGGGTTTAGAACGTCATTTGAATTAAATTCTGTTGCGGTATTTAGTCTGGCCCAGCTGAGAATTTCGATTACAGACAAGTGGCAGACAGGCGTCTGTGGTCTATTTAATATATGCGTAGTTGTTGTTATTATTTTCTATATTTCTTTTATATGAATTTGTGAATGAAATTATTAGCTGAGTTATAAATAAAGGGGTGGGGTTAATTGAGATTGTATTTAGGGTGGGTCAGGTCAGGTTTTTTGAATGGGAAATTTTATTGAAATAACATAGATAATTAATTCATATTTTATCTCATAAAAATACATAATATAACTTATTTATTTTACCTTTTAAAATAACAAAGATAATATCTATAAATTATCTATGTGATATAGATAATGTAATAAAATTGTGTAGATAATTTATCCATGTTATCTAAATAATATAAATAATAAATGAAATTATTAAAACTATTTTCAAAGTGATATACATACTAATTATCTGAGGGAGATAAATAATAAATTCGAATTATTTAATTACAGTAGATAATTTATCTTTTTTATCTTTATATATTTATCTTTATAACCAATATAATTTATTTATGTAATGAATAGAGTATATAGATTGAAAATAATAATTTTATAATTTATCTGAATAAATTTAAGATTTTAGATAAATTATCTGATTTATCTGAAAGACAAAAAATTAATCCTATATTACAAAAAGAGTAACAAAAATAATAAAGGTAATATTATAACGCTACAAACAGTATAGATAATTTATCTAAGTTATCTAAACTCTATAGACAGCACAGATAATGTGTCTACATTATGTAGATAATGTGCGAAATCAAATATTTGTTTAAGTTATCTAAATAATATAATTAGTTTATCTTGATGATTTAAATATGTAAAATGATTTTTCTGAATTTTTTAAACATTTCAGATAATTTATCTGAATTATCTATAAACTATCTAACGTATTTACATAATGTATATCATATATAAGCTATAAAAAATGTATTCATAATTTATCTGAATAATTTCAAATGTTTAGATAATTTATCTCAGTTATCTAAAGTACAAAAATGTTATCTAAATTGCATAAATAAAAAAGTAAATTATTAAAACTATTTTGAAAGTGATATACATACTAATTATCTGAGGAAGATAAATAATAAATTCGAATTATTTAATTACAGTAGATAATTTATCTTTTTTATCTTTATATATTTATCTTTATAACCAATATAATTTATTTATGTAATGAATAAAGTATATAGATCGAAAATAATAATTTTATAATTTATATGAATAAATTTAAGATTTTAGATAAATTATCTGAAGCACAAAAAATTAATCCTATATTACAAAAAATAACAAAAATAATATAGATAACAGTATAGATAATTTATCTACGTTATCTAAACTCTATAAACAGCACAGATAATGTGTCTACATTATGTAGATAATGTGCGAAATCAAATATTTATTTATGTTATCTAAATAATATAATTAGTTTATCGTGATGATTTAAATACGTAAAATGATTTATCTGAATTTTTTAAACATTTCAGATAATTTATCTGAATTATCTATAAACTATCTAAGGCATTTACATTATGTATAGCATATATAAGTTATAAAAAATGTATTCATAAGTTATCTGAATAATTTTAACTACTTAGATAACTTATCTGAGTTATCTAAAGTACAAAAAGCCATCCCAACACAAAGAAATATAATGTATATATGCCATATAATTTTTTTAGATACTCTGACAACGTTAAAAATTTCATAGATAATTTATCAGATAATGTGTCTACATTATGTAGATAATATAAATATTTGTTTAAGTTATCTAAATAATATAATTAGTTTATCTCGAAGATTTAAATATGTAAAATGATTTATCTGAATTTTTTAAACATTTCAGATAATTTATCTGAATTATCTATAAACTATCTAAGGCATTTACATTATGTATAGCATATATAAGTTATAAAAAATGTATTCATAATTTATCTGAATAATTTTAACTGTTTAGATAATTTATCTGAGTTATCTAAAGTACAAAAAGCCATCCCAAAATAAAGAAATATAATGTATATATGCCATATAATTTTTTATAATTACTCTGACAACATTAAAAATTTCATAGATAATTTATCTGAGTTATATAAACTATAACCTATGTGTGTTAATCAAATATTTGTTTAAGTTATCTAAATAATATAATTAGTTTACCTTATGATTTCAATATGTAAAATGATTTATCTGACAAGATTTATAATTTATCTGAAAATAAACTATCTAACATTTACAATGTATAGCATATATAAATTATAAAAAATTTATTCATAATTTATCTGAATAATTTTAACTCTTTAGATAATTTATCTGAGTTATCTAAAGTACAAAAAGCCATCCCAACATAATGAAATACTCTGACAACGTTAAAAATATCATAGATAATTTATCTGAGTTATCTATAACCTATTTAACGCATTTACCTTATGTATAGGGTATACAAGTTATAACAAATGTATACACAATTTATCTAAATAATTTCAACAGTTTAGATAATTTATCTAAGTTATCTAAAGTACAAAATCTCACCACAACATAACAAATATAATGTCTATAAATTATTTAGATAATATGATAACGTTAAAAATAGCATAGATAATTTATCTAGGTTATCTAAACGATATAGATAATTTGTGGAGCTGCTGCAAGTAATATCAAACAATTTTTTTCAAAATAATATAATAAATTTAAATCGATCATTTAAATATATTTAAGATGATTTATCTGAGTTGTGGAAATAGTTCAGATAATTTATCTGGCTTATATGTAATCTATTTAAAGTTGTTATGACATTTATATGGTATATAGGCTATAAAAAATGGATAGATAATGTATCTGAATAATTGTTTAGGATTGTAGATAATTTATCTGAGATATCTTAAAGGCTGGTTTAACCCTAAATATGAATAGTAATATTGATGGGGCATATTGATGATGTGTCTGCTATATCTCTGATTCTAAAAATTGTACATCTGACATTTTTTATTGTTAAATAATTTATCTGAGTTGCATAAACATTTTAGATATGTTATCTAAATGACTATAATAACTCTATATGAAACCTAAGTTGTTTATAAATGTCCCGGAAATTAAATTTATAATATCTATAAATTATTTTTGTAAGTAAGATCATGTTTTAATGTAGTTTAAAAGGCGTAGATAATTTATCTATGTTATCTATGCGGCATTTTACTTTTCAAAATATGATAGATAATTTACAAAAATTATTAAAATAGAATAAAAACTATATTAGCATCATTTAAATATGATTGATGATTTATCTGAGTTATGAAAATACTTTAGATAATTTATCTGAGTTTTATAAATAGAACAAAATCATTGTACGTAACAACAAAAATGTATCTAAGTTATTTTCCTAATTCACATTGAGTTTTAACGTGGTGAAAAATGTGTAGATAATTTATCTATGTTATCTAAATGAACCAGAAAATAAATAAATTATCTATATTATTGTGGATAAGTGGATAAATTATCTAAGCAATAAGATAAAATTTATATCTGCATTATTTAAATGCATTAGATAATTTATCTGAGTTAAATAAAGTTTTTAGATAATTTATCTAAGTTGTTTAAATAACTAGAATAAATGTAGATAACAAAAATATTATAGCCAAATTATTTTAGCAATACACAAAATGCTTTAACGTTGTATAAAAGACATAGATAATTTATCTACGTTATCTAAATGTCACAAAAAAATAATAAAAATTAACTGTATTAACGAAATGAAGCGTATAATTTATCTAAGCTCTCTAAATTGCATGATAATGACTTTTTATCTAAGCTAAAATTATCTTAGACAAGATTATTTTCAATAATTTATCTACATTAATTTTTTAATTATTACAGTTATTGATTTCCAAATAATTAATCATCATCTATTTCTTCGATATTTCATTTCAGGTTTCTAGAAGGCCATCAACGCTATAAGACTTCCCGCAACGTGTTAGACCTCCCTTGAGGTCCAGCCCAAAGGGCTAAGACTGCACGCAGACAGCATAGATAATTGAAGAAGAAAAGAAAAACAACACAAAAACAACAACAACAACAAAAAGCACCCCCTCTCAATATCATACAATGACAGAAAATCAATTATTTTCCATGTCGACAGAATTATTCGACTCATCTTCCAACAGCAGCAATCCATTGAAATACGATCTGTATTCATTGGGTACGACGGCGTTATTTGCCACATTTGCGAATAATAATAACAGTAACAACAACAACAGCAACAATACTAACGGCAACAACAGCAACTCTAATACAAATCTGAATAATTCTGGTTTTGGCCAAACATCAACATCGGGTACTCTGCCATTTTTCTCCACCATTTCGGTTAACGGAGGTGGTAGCGGAGGAAGTGGTGGCAGTTTTTCCAACAGTGGCAGTAGTAGTAATGTTATAACAATACCTCGAAGTAATAATCCAAATCAATTACATAATCCCTATCAGGACGATATTCTACATCATCCATCGTCAAGTCCGTTCTTAAGTCACTTATTGCAACATCATCAGCCTCAGCAGCAGCAACAACAACAGCAGCAGCATAATCTTAATCAAAACATGATGTCCTCACAGAATCAACAGCAGCAGCAACAACAACACACAAATGGTCAAAATAACCACCAACAACAACAACCAGTTGGTGGTGGCCTTTTAAGTGTTTCAATGGCTGACTACTCCGACTATGGCCTCGACGCCTTGGAGGCTGCTTCTTTGTCACCAACCCTCTTGCAGGATGTTAATCTAAGTGCCGCAACACAGAGTCTAGCAACGGGACAAAATTCCTCGGCCATAAACGTGATATCACCCTTCTACAGTCATGATGCCTCCTCACCGCTAAGTCATAACGGCAGTCTAGGTAATGCCTCCTCAATTTTGAGTAGTAGTGTCGGAGGGGGTGGTGTCGGCTCTGGTGCATCAGGTGGTGGCGGTATAAATATCTCTTCTCCACCCAGTTCGGATATCAATGGTGTGGTTACCCTATTGGGTTCCTCCACACCGGCCGACGATATCACCTCGTCGTTTATGTACGATGTGACGAATGTAGGCAATTCAGGTGGCAGTGCCATGTGGAGTGATATCGGCAGTGCCATTGTTACCACCAAAAATGAACCACCCTTTCCCCTGGAAGATGATTATATTTTCCCCATCGACAAAAATGATATCAACTCTGCTGGTTTCGGAGCTTTAGAAGATGATCATTTCTTGGAAGATATATCGAATTTGGAAGAATTCCTCCCAGGAACAGGGCATGATGGTACAAATGGTTTTTTGCTATCGCCTACATTGCATTCGTCGGGACAAACAAATGCCACAACACCATCACCGGGTATGGGACCACCAATGGAATTAATGCAACAGCAGAGTCATCATCAGCAGCAGCAACAACAACAGCAACAGTCCAATCAACAACAACAACAGCAGCAACAACATTTACAACAATTCACCCAATTACATACGATGCAGGCATCGTCATCACTGGATAGTGGCAATGGTAGCTCTTCCACTTCTGGTTCCAATTCGATGCTGCAGCAACAACAGCAACAACAACAAAATCATCAAAGTTCCTCCTCTAGTCCATATGAAATTTATCACAGTACACCAAATAAACATCAGCTAAATAATACGAATACCTTTTCGCCGGGAAGTCAGGTAAGTCTGGTTGCCAACCTGCAGCTTATGGAGTCGGAGTTGAGTTTGGAGTATATATTTGTAATCGGAGTCGATATTCTATTCATAAATGACATCTCAGTGATCTCTTCGACAAATAAAAGGCCCTTTAGAAGCCATTTTCTATAATCGGAAGACATTCTATACACAAAAGATTCTCAGAGTTATGGAACATATTTTAAAGGTCCCTTTACTTATACAAGTCCTCTCAGAAATCTCCTCAATTGAAAAATAGCCTTCAGAGATCGATTCGATATGTTAAAGATCCTTGAGAAGAATCTTTTATACATGGAAGACCCTTCATAGGTCTCTAATATATAAGAAGACTCTTTAGAGGTCCCTTCTACGTATGGTGGATATTTCAGGGGTCCCGCTACACATACAAACCCGCTCTGAGGTCTTCTCTATATAAACTTGTCTTTAAATATATCTTTGATACATTAAAGACCCTTAAATACCCATCAGGTGTCTTTCTACACTTTAAAGATTATTCAGAGACCCCTTCTATAAATGGAAGATTTCTGAATGGTCTCTTTTGTAAATTGAAACCCCTTCGGAGGTACCTTCTGTATATGGAAGTCCCTGCAGGTTATCCTTTAAACACCGAAGAACATCCAGAGGTCTCCTCGATATATACAGGTCCCTTCAGAGGATTGTTCGATAAATTGAAAGCCCTTAAGAGGTCTATTTCATAAAGTGAGCAACGTATTCTATATAAAGCAGATCTTAAGAGGTCTCTCCGATACATAGAAAACTCCTTAAAGTCTTCTTCGATACATAGAAGACCCTTCTGAGGTCTTGGCAGGTCGTTCAGATGTATTTCCCATACATAGAGGACCCTTAAGAACACTTTGCTATACATTGCAGATCATTTAAAGGTCTCTTCCCTACTTCGAGGATCCTTCCGAGGTACTTTCTATAGGCCCCTTCTATGTACCGAAGAGACATATGAAGACTATTCAGGGTCTCCTCTAAATACAAAGGACCACGCAGTGATCTCCTCAATATGTATAAAACCCTTACGAGAAGTATTCCATACATTGAAGACCCTTCTAAGGTCTCTTTTATACACTAAACATCCGTAAGAGGTATCTTCCGTATACATCAGATCTTCGGAAGTCCCTTCGATGCATTGAAACTCCTTCAAAGGCGACTTCGATAAATAGAGAACCTTCAGAGGCCACTTCTCTACTTTGATGACCCTTTAGCAGATCTTCAGAAGTCTCTACGATACATAGAAACCCCTTCACAGATGTCTTCGATACATAGAAAATCTTCTACAGACGTCTTCGATACATAGAAATATCCCCTTAGATGCCTTCTGCGCCTAAAATACCGATGGGACAACTCCTGTTCAAATAAGACCCTTCAGAGGCTTTCTGTACATAGGCGAATTTCAATATATAGGTTCTTCTGAGGTCCCAGACTTCCATTTTGAATCCGCCAATATTAGCCGACAACAACTCCGACTCCAAAGATCTACTCTAAATAATCCATAACACAATTATTTAATCTCTTTATACCCCTCTCTCTCTTTACAGTCCTCCCATTCACCGCTACAATTGAATTCCATAACACCACCACCACCGCATGCCAATCGTTCACAGTATCAGCAGGTTAAGTCACGGAAAATGCATGAAATTATGAAAAAAGATTATTCGCTATCGCCGGATCGTAACAACGGTTCCATTGCCATGCTTGGACATTCTGTGCCGGCCAATGGTCAAGGCCTGTTGATGTCGCATACAGCAGTTAGCCCGGCCGGTAGCAGTGGTTATGGCAGTGCAACAAATGGTGGCGGTAGTAACTCCAGTGCTGCTGCCGTGATAAGTATGAACAGTGCTCGGAAACAATTCTATCAGTCGGTGGCTGCCAATGACATTAGCGGTAATACGATATCACGGTTATCATCATCGGCACCCACCCATTTGGGTCTCGATCACATATGGACACGACGTGAACCTAGACAGCATTTACTTTCCACGGGTTCATTGGCCGAAGCGGAATCTTTCTCATCACTGAGTACAGCTAGTGTTCTATCACCCGATGGCCTTGATTATTCCCAGGAAGATGATGATGATGACAACTCTTCGGAATTCAACAGTGACAACTACGATGATCTGTCAAGTGATAATGGTTCGGATAATGAAGATGACAACACCACAATACGGGCCAGATCCAATTCGAATAGCAGCCAACAATTGTCTACCTCAAAGGGCAAGGAGCGGTACTTTTGGCAATACAATGTCCAGGCCAAGGGTCCGAAAGGTAAACGTTTGGTATTCCAGTCGAAACTAGAGGATCCTCATGTTTTGAATGAAGTCACCGATCCGGTGTTTAGTCCGAATTGTTCGGTGCGTGGTATAAAGGTATATAAGGTGATTATCGTTGTGGCACGTCGAAGAAACAGCTAAATTTTTATTTATGTAATTTTTTTTCTCTTTCTTCCCAAACTTTAGCATAGTGGCAAGGCCCGTAAAGGTGATGGCAATGACTTAACACCAAATCCTCGTAAGCTGAATAATATTGGCAAGGAATTGGATCGTTTAAGTCGCACCATCAACGATATGACCCCTGTCTCTGAACTGCCATTTAATGTTAGACCCAAATCGCGTAAGGAGAAAAATAAGTTGGCCTCGCGCGCTTGCCGTCTTAAGAAAAAGGCTCAACATGAGGCTAACAAGATTAAGCTGTACGGTTTGGAAATTGAACACAGTGAGTATTGATAGGGTGGTTATTTAAAAAAATATTTCAAATTGTAACGTGTGTTTTTGTTTTGTTTTCTTTCTATAGAACGTCTATTGAATGCCATTAGCGATATCAAACAAAATCTAGCCTTGAAATATCGCCAGCGAAATGTGGGCGAGAGCTGTGAAGAGACAGATAAACAAATTGAAAGAATTTATAAGCATGCCATTGGTAAGTTGAAAAATAAATATTTTAATATAATCGAATGGAAAAGACTTAGGTCGATTTTAGTATATGGTTGGAGAGGAGGACCTAAGTTAGTTGCCAAACTGAATGCTGAATCACAGTAATGCTAACCAAAATGTATAGTCTGCTAAACTTCGTGATCGACCCAATTTTAACATTTAAAATAGGAGTTAATAGTAATTTAGGTTCTGATATATTAGAAGGCAAATTTTGTTTTATAAGAGGAAGAAAAGGACTAGTACAGTTTTGAACTTCTCAGACGTTCCTGGTATTTTTCTATATATAAACTTGTAGAGCACTGTCTACGAAAATTAACTTTTTCTACTACAGCGAGCGCTTGTTGGTTATACTATACTAGAATAACATTTTTAGTCATCTGTGAGTATATCTTGGTCTGCTGTTGACAGAGTTCTTTGCTTTATAAGAATACTTTTGGAACTTGAAAAAAAAAATCATTTTTCGGATGACAATTCTGTTTCTATATATCTCCACTTTTGATATTCAATGAGAATTAATCCCCTATGCTTTCAATAGGCCTCAGAGGTATTCTGCACACAGAAAGTGCATATTTAGAAGATCTCTTGTAGTAGTAGTAGAACCCTTAGAATCATCTTTTATTCCCGGAAGTGTCCGTCAGAGGCAGTATGTGTGTTCTATGCCTTAAATACACCTCCGGGCCCTTCGGTAGGCAGAAGACACCTGAAGAGGCATTCAAACATATTTCAAAAAATGCAAGCCACTGCAGATTCTTGCAAATGCATATTTTAAATGGATCCAAAATTTCACAGAAGTCAATTTTTTCTTGAGTTTTTTTAAACCGATCGAATATCCGTCATTGGCGTATTAGATGTCTTAAATATGATGCCTTTTTATATGTAGAAGACTCCTTTGAGTTATCTTTTATTCCTGGGAAAGAGGCAGTAGGTGCGTTCTATACCAAAAATAAACCTCAGTGGCCTTGTGTTCACTGAAAAATCCTCAAGGGCTTTTCGTAGTCAAAATTCACCTCAGAGGCATTCTAAAAAGTTTTTTTCTTTATAAAATAATTTGCGCCTCTGTGGTTCGTTTAAAAAATATTTTTAGAATGCAAGCCTCGGCAGATTCTTAAAAAAAAAAATATTTTAAACGGATCCAATATCCCTAATCCAAACTCCTCAAAAATCGTCTGTGTTTAGAAGAAACCTCCGACACCTTTTTGTATTTACATGGGCCTTCGGAAGACACATGGGCCTTCGGAAGACAACTCCTATGCATTCAAAAATACCTTTTAACAAATCCTGTCCTCTTTGGGTTCTTAAAACATATTTTTTTTCATTTCAAGCCTCCGCCGAAACACTTTTAGGTATAGAGATTTTTCTTCGAATATTTCCAAAATATAGGACTCCTCAAAAAACTTCTGTATTTTGAAGAAACCTCAGAGGCGTTTTTATATGTGGTAGACCTCTTAGGTGTAAATCCCACAAGGGCCTTCGGAAGACATCTCTGAGGCATTCAAAAATATCTTTTAAAAAATCCAGGCATCTTTGGTTTCTTAAAAAATATATTTTTTCCATTTCAAGCCTCTGCAGAAGCATTTTTTGGTATAGCCCCCATATAAGGGAACTCTCCCCCATATTCGATATGAAAGTTATAGCCCGATTTTCCCAACGAATTACAGCCAAAATTTGACATTCTGTGTTCTTGTTGTGTGAAAAACAACACAATTTTCAATAGAGGTACACATATCCCCCATATAAATATTCGGCACCATTTTCGACAACGTAGTGACTGTAGGGTTTTTGGAGGATGAATAAAATCTTTGGAAAAATACCAAATATATGTCTATTTTTTAACAAAGTTCCCGATATTTTCGACAAGGTTTTAGAGGCATTTTCACAGCTAACTGGCTGTAATTTGCCTCATTTTCGGTATTTTTAAGGTATAACCAACATTTTCCAAAAGAAAAGGTTGGGAAATGCCTCATGGTTTCTTGAAGGGTGAGAAACATTTTCCATATACATCCTATAGTACCAGAATCCCATAGAAATTAACTTCGAATTTAATATAAAATCGATGTTACATATGAAATTGAGAATTTCTGAACATATTTGGACTAAATCTGTTTTTTCGAATACTTAATTAGCTTCATAAGATAATTAAATTTTTACAAAATGTTGTTCCATTTGTGGTTAGGTTCAACAGAAGGAGTATACTCATAGTGTCCATCAAAACTGTTATACCTTTCTGAGTCTATCTGGTGCGTAGAACCTGTTAACGAAACTATTTACCTCAACATTTTTGAAATTTTTGATCCAAATCCATAAGACATACATAACGGGCGGTTGAAATGAAGCTGAACATCATGATCCGACAACAAAATAACTCCAAAATTTGAATATAACGTTCGACTGCTTACCTTATACGCAATCAAATCTGCATATCTACTCTATTCACCCTAGGGACGGTTGAAATGAAGCTTCCACTGATCATGATGGTATGTGATGCACAAAATTCGATCACAAACTGCACAGGATGTCTCCTTCTAATACCAGTGCATATTGTCGCTTCAGTACCTGCTTGGATTCTACCGCCGGAACTATCCATGTTATTACAGCATAGATAGTACTCCCCCGCTCAGACACGTTAAGAATTAATGAATATTCCCACAGAAGCATAATTTAGTATTTTAAGTTCACGTACCACCCAAACCACCCAAGAAAGACCGCTATCTAGTCAAACACGAGTTGTTTTAGCACAACTCTGGACCAACCGTTTCAATTTGTATTGAAGTCGAATTGATAACAACATGCCAGATGCATGTCCTCTGCATGAAGAGTAGGACCTAACGATAATTTGCATTTGTTCAACGGCCTAGTTAAATCCACTCAACTCTCTCCAGATGCTCTTTGGTCACAACCAATCCAGCCTGTCACATTTTTAAACCACGAAATAGAGAAATCAGAGACAGACTAATTGGAAAATGCTACAACAACAAAGTGAAGAAAACTTTCAAATTGACTCAAAATTGTCTAAAACGATTTTGGTCCAAAAGAACTTGAGAATCGAAAACCGTAATTTTGATGGGACACATTTTCCAACAACATTCCTTTGGACGAACTTAACGGCCTGTTTACTTTTTGTTTGCTTATTGAGAATCCTTGTATGTCTATTGCATAAACGTTGGAAACTGTTCTGACATTTAGTTCCAGGTCCTTTGACCTCTAGAAGTACACATCTTATATTTAAAACTTTCGATTTAAAATTACATTTTAATGTTATATTTTACTCTCCCAATCTTTTCATAACTAATATTTTGTAATTTATTTTCTATTATTCTTCCAGGTGGCTTAGCGATTGCTGGCGGTACCACAGACTTTGTCAATAAAGTTTTGGTAAATGTTAAAAATGGTCAGCCGAATGGTGGTTTAGAAGAACTTAAAAATACATAAGGCCAAAATTTCTCATAATTAAATACCAATGAAGATGATGATGCATCGAGCTATGAGGCAGAACAATTAATTCAATAAATACTACAAGCCAAGACACGCCACTACAACAACTACTCCACAAAGATGAAACGAAGCTAATACTAGAGAAAAATAAAAATTGTCCCCCTCCCAAAAAAGTAAAAGGAAATAATGATGACCCTATGTTGCAACAAATTTTATAAGAGGCATACAACAACTACAAAGAAACATATAAAATGATAAAGAAAAACAAAAATTGCTTACTACTACTACAACTCTACAAGTAAGAAAATAAAAAAAAAAACAATCCAAAATTTTTATATATTGTAAAATGCTACCAGTTTTACCTGTCGTTTTTTTTTAATTATTTTAACTTTGTAATTCTATAAATATATATATTTTTTTGCTCTTTGAAAAAAAAAGATTATATCAAATTTAGTTTTTTTGTTTAAGTTTTAAGCATTTGTTTTTACCAATATATACATATATATTCTAGTTTTATTTTTGCTTAAGTTTTGCATCTGGTTAAGTTTTAAAGTGAAACAAAAATGTAATATATTATAATAATTATATTTGATTATTTTTTATTATTATTATTATAATAAATGTTTAATAATTTAGTTTTAAACTCTAACCTCAAAAAACAATTTTATTTTATTTTTTTTTTTACAATTATATAGAAATTTATATTAAAAAATGATGTTATATGATTGAATGACATGGTGTTAGTGATAGAAAGATTTTTTTTGTGAGAGAGAATGTGTGGATAATTGGCAAATATTTCGGGTTGGAAAAGAAAAATCAGGTTATAGCCGTTATTGAAAATTAATAGCTCCAAAAGACATATTAATGAGTAATTGGAAAATTTCCTCCAAAGAAAAATGTGAGGTTATGTTTGACAAGCTTTTGTGTTAAAGAAAATAGATATTTTTTTTAAAAAAGAAACCACCATATTTATTACCTTTAAGCAAAATTGGAGGTTATGTTCATTTTCTTTCCTGTAATTTAAATTTTGTGACGAAAATATAAAACTTATTTATAAATAATTTCTCAATATTCCTTAAGAACAAGAAGTGAAAAACTAAATTATTGAAAATTAACAGTTCAGATGGGTCACTTGCTCAATGTGAGGTTATGTTTTTTTTCTTTTGGAATTTGTGATAAAAAAATATATACAAATTATTGAAGAAAATATAAATTCTAAATAATCATTAATAAAGTTATTGAATATTAGAATCTATGGAAATAAATATTTAACCTCAAAAATCGGAGGTTAAGTGCAGAACCCTTAATGTGAGGTTATGTTTATTAGTTTTTATTAGTTTTCAACATTAAAGAGAATCTTAAAAAGTGTGATCATTTTAAACAAATTGGCAAATATTTTTTTCTACAATTTTCTTCGGCTTTTTGTGATCACAGATCGTAGATCAATCGTTTTACAAAAATGTATACAAAATTTTGTAACCCCAAAAGTGAGGTTGTTATGTGCATGTTTATTTATAGAAGTCCTAAATATTTTCGAATAGAAAAAAATGCATTATTAGTTTTCAAAATTATTTATTAGGGCAAATATATAATATAACAAAAAATAAAAAATAAGTTTATGTCGAAATGCCACTTTAAATTATTTGAAAATTAATAATTTGGTAACTATTTTCCCCCATTTGTTTCTTTAAACATAACCTCAAAATAGACAGATTTTGATTGTTAAAAAAAATCATGATTAAATTTGGATTCTAATAAAAATTGGAAAATCCTATTTTTTAAATAATTTATGAGTTTTCGTATAGAAAAAAATGTAAAATGCAATTTTGAAGTAAGTCATATTTTGAGGTTATGTCTTAATTTGTACATAAGGCATAACCTCAAAATTTATACATTTTTTTTTATAAAAAAATCCATAAATTATTGAAAAAATAATATTTTTCAATTTTTATTAGAATCCAATTATAATAATGTTTTTTTTTAATATTACCAACAAAGTCTATCTATTTTGAGGTTATGTTTAAAAAAAAGGCGTCAAAATTGTTATCAAGTAAAAAAAAATAAAAAATAATTTTTGTCTAGAAATCCTTCTTAGATAGGTTCAGATAAAATCTCACTTAATTTATATTCTGAACATAACCTAAATATATATATATATATATATATATATTTTGTGAAATATTAATATTCATTTTTTTTTAATTCAGAAGCAGAAGCATTAGTAAGATTTTTTTAAACATAACCTCAAAATAGACAGATTTCCATCATGATTATATTTGGCAAAAATCGTAATTTTTTCAATAACTTATGAGTTTTCTTATAGAAAAAAAAATTGAAAAAATATGTACAAAATTTAAAATTCAAACTTTTGTCTAGAAATGTATCCTCGATAGGTTCAGATAAAATCTCACTTAATTTATATACCTAAAAATTATTGTTTTTTTGTTTTTTGCGAAATATTACTATTATTAGTAATTAAATTTTTTATAATTTCTAAGTCAAGATTCATTCTAAAACAAATTTAATATTGAATTATTACTGAAATACTTTTTTTAAGTCAGGAGGCAATTTATAATTAATTACCAAGTCCCCAGAAGTCGAAGTTTTTTTTTTATTTTGTAGTAATGGTGATTCGAGTTATGGGGGTTCGTCTGTATTATTTTCCAACAACTTTTTGGGATTTTGTTATTATTAAACCAACAAATTTCCCCTGAAAAAAGGACCACATTAAAGATTTTGGTATATATAACCTCACATTTTTTTTTAATAAATTGAGGTAATATTTTCAATAAAAAAATTTCAATCATTTTTTGGATTTTATTAACTATATAAAATAATTTAAAATTGTAAAGAGTTATAACCAGTAAAAAACCCCTGGAGTGGCCAACCAGATTGATAGTTTATATCCAATATAACCTCACTTTTGTAACAACACTGATTATTTTCCTTAAAATTCTTGCAATATTCTTCATAAGACCAAATCAAAATTATTTTTCACTGTCAATAGCACCATGTTACAATAACAAAATAAATATATAATAACAACTTTGTAGAGAGAGATAAAAATAATCAAACAGTGATTTTGTTTTGTTAAAGTTTTGCGCTTGTGATTTTCTTTTTTTTTTAATATTTTAATTAATTTAAAAAATCAAAACAAAAAAAACTACTTATAGTTAAAAACAAAGCATGTGAAAAAGTAACAAACTTACAAAACAAACCCCAAAAAACTCCCACTTTTTTTACAAAATAGCCACACACACACCCTAATCTTTAAGTTACAATTCAAAATAAAAAGGAACTATATTTAAGTATAAACAAAATGTGACATATATATATAAATATATTTTCCTGTTTGCTATGAAGAAAGCAAAGAAGAAATTAAAAACACGCACTAAATGTTATATACACACATTACATATATATATATATTAAAAATAAAATAATATACCGATATATATTTATAATGTTAATAAAAAAAGAAGAAGAATGATAAAATTTCAATTTCAATAGAAATTGACAAATGAATGAAATGCAAAAAAACAAACATAATTATATACATACATACTATATAAAAAAAGCTGTGTATATATACAAGGTGTATTCTCGAAGTGTGTGGATAAAATATGTAATGTAGAAAATTGTACGGAAAATCTTCTTTAGGGAAATTCGTAAGGATATAATTGTCAATAATTCATTAGGTGTTTTTTAAGAAGTTGTATAATTTTTTCAAATATACTCCGCTTGGCGAATATATTTCTTAGTGAAATATGATATTGTTCTCATTTAAAAATTATGTTTTCGGGATGTTTTTTTGTTTATCCCACTCAAAAACACTAGAATACCCCAGAAAAGGAATCAAATATTGTTCCATTTAAAATTGTGATGAAATATTCCTTAGCACAATTGACAATAGTCCATCTTCCTCGTATGTTTAGCATTGCTCAAAAGTTTTTGAGTTATTGTAATATAATGTCAAGCCTCTGAAATAAAATAATCATGGCCACTACAATGTAGAGAAATTATGAACATTTTCAAGATTAAAATTTTCCTTTTACTTTGAATCCATATTGGCTTCTAATGATATTTTAATTCTGTCCTAGCTCTTGGTGAGATATTGTTGGAAATAAATAATTCGGATTGACATTTGATAATTAGTAATGATATCCTTAGCAGCATCGGGACAGAAAATACTATGACTCTCCTATATATAGAAGTTATTCTCTATAAGTGTAAATAAATACATAATAAGTCCCTTTATTTTTTTAAAAATATAAATCCAAATCAATAAGGCGATAATTGATATAACCTTAATGTGAGGAGTGGGCATGAATACCGTCCGTATGTTTTTTCCTATAAGTGGAATATTTAACATTTTTTTTAATATCGGAGTTAAATGAAGAATAAGTCCTCCTTTTGATTTCTACAAATATTAATCCAAATAATTATGCCGATAAATGATAAAATCTCAATGTTAGAAGAAGGTTTGGATGCCGTTACGGCATTATTAATATACGAGGATATGTTGGTATATTTTATTCTGGGCTTTAGTCCCCATAACTTAATTGGAGTAATGCATTTTTATACCCTCAGGGTATATAAACAATGATACGGTGAAAATGTGCCTCATCGAAATATTGTTTTTAGACCCCATGTCTCTTTGGACCAAATCCGTTTCAGAAAAATTTGGAGTCGATTTACACATGTCCGTCCGTTCGTTGTCCGTCTGACTGGTGCGCACGATAACTCTCAAAGGGAATAATCGATTTTATCCAAACTTAGCACATTGGACCACTCCTTCGGGTACCTCACCCACAAAATGATCAACATTGTGCTAAAAATTAATTATATAATAACACGCAAACTGACTATCCGATTTTAACCCTTTCAGTGTTTTTGTCGAATATATTCGACATTTAAAATTGCTCTGCTTTATTCCGACAAAAAAAAATTGTTGACACTGAAAGGGTTAAGGAAACTTTACACAACCTATTATCTTTACCAAG